TTCGGAAGACTGCAACTTTGTTAATTTGCAATCGGATCATCATTATGAAAAAGAAGATTTGCGCTTCTCGAGCGATACTGCGGTTGTTTTGAACATTCTCCAGTTGGCGAGAAATTTGCGTCGAGGAAATGTCGAGCAAATTCTCGATGCCACAGGAAAGCTCTATTTGTTCCTCATCGTAGCAACGAACTTCTTTAAACACCTTCGAAATGCTGTAGTGGTACGTCATCTCAATTAAGTAAATAGGAAACGGCACTTGGTGCATTCATTTCATTTCATTCTGGTATGCGCCATGCATGACCCAACTCGAAGTCTTTTGAAGGGTGTTCTGGCTACATGACAAAACTTGTGGGGACGAAAGGTGCTTCTGCTCTCAATTGATAATAACACTTATGGCCGTATTATACTATGATCAATCCTTTATTAACGTTTTTCCATTCCAACCCTGTTTCGATGAATGACGCATTTGCGGTTGCAGTATTGACTATGCCAAGGAGATTGCGAATCTTCCCTTTTTGAACTTTCTACTGAAATACTGTTACTCACTAGATTCTCAAATTGTGCTCAATTAAGAGCAAATATTCGCTGCCCATTCTCTACGATTCTTCTGCAGAACGCATTTCCTCCCTATGTCTTCGTACTAATCACTACGAACCAAATCAGCAAACACCTTATATTGAAACTATAATAGATATATGTAAGATATCAGTTGTGCTACGCTGACTAATACACGTGAAATTAATGATGACAGCAAATAAGTGGCAGCAGCACCGTTGTGTCCGTTGATGAACCTTTTGATTACGACCCCCTCCCAACTCTCATCGGAGCAAATACGACCCCCTGTCGAGGATTTCCTCGACCGTTACTCACCCTGTTTTAAGCGGATCTGAATCTACTATGAGGAGCAGTGTATATTTTCTTTTCTACCCGGGACATTTGCGGACGGACACCTTAACAGACAGACTGATATACCAAGTGTATAATAGGAGAGCAGTGCAAGTATTATTCAGATGAAGAGTTCCAGGGATCTTCAGGCGTGAAAACCGAAGTGTTTTTCGGTGACATCCGTGCTTTGTCGTTGTCTATTCTAGGTCTACGAATGCTGGCATAAATGGATAAGGAGTTGGTGAAGTTACTGGTTACATTCACATACGAATGCCAACCAGTGTACGCACTGAATATAGTTATTAAAGCACATTTTTGTCGGATGATGGAATGGATACTGCATTCTTTGCAGTGTTAAATCGCCAAGAACAGTAGATGAAGGCAGATTTTATGACAGCACACAATCTATACCGTTATAGATTATGTAGGTGACGTTTTACACGTCAGAGCGCATAGCAAAGGCGCCAGATAGTCACCTCATTGGCATCGGTCGCCTGTAATAACTACGACCGCACACAGATCCGGTGTACAGTTCCCCGATCGTTATGTTCACTTATTTGCTTCAACCAGGATATTCCCTCTCCTGCGATGCCAGTGAATTTTACAGCTTAGAAATTCCACCATCTCAACATGATGAGTTGCTTTTCAACGTCATGATAAATATTCTCACAAGCCGGACAATGACATCAAAACAACATTCATGAAGGATGGCACGAAATGCTTTCACCTAGTTGATTAAGATGAAGAACCGTGGCAAGAACCGTCTGATCTTGCCTATCCAAGCACTGAGTGCATTTCATGTGAAAAAAATGAACTGATAGTTACCATATTATGTCCGACATATATTTTGGAAAGTCCTGAACAAATGATTCTTTTTCTAATACGTGTTGCTAACTCTGAAAAAACATCTTGTGATCGTCTTGCGGTTAAAACTTAAAAGCAGAATTAAATTATTCAAGATGTGAAACAAAACTCTCTCTTTCTTTATCTACCTCTTTCTCCTATTTCGTTCATTACTTTTTTTTTATTAAGATTGCTACTTGCTGTTTCTCCCACAACTTCGATTTTCATGTAAGCCCTCCCCGCTACATTCAGATTTTTTTACATCGGTCAATGCCAATGCTCACTTTCCACTGTCCATAAATTTTACTCTATCCGAGTTATCCTTTTATTGAATTTTTGGTCTTCCTGCTCGCTACTAGTTATCACTAAGAGTAGTGCCAGTGACACCGTTGACATTTAAGCGCTGCGGCGACGGTGCTGACCCCTACTGGTCACCTCACCGCGTGGTCGCTGTAGCTCCACAACTCCACGTACGTGCTGCTCATGAGTTCTTCCATGTAGTCCTTCGCCGCATCGACCTTGACGCAGCTCGCGGAAGAGACCGTCAAACGGAGATTCGAACTTGTTTGTTGCTCTTAAAGGAAAGAGGTGAAAAAATGAAAAGTAAGACGCCTTATGAAGAAAAAACTTGTTCACACTCAGGCGACGTTTCCAAAAACTTTCCTCTTTCAACCTTTCATTTGAGAGGTGCGTAGTTTGAGTATATGTAATTTATTGTTTGCGAAAAGTGGGGCAAGGGCAAAGTATGAAGCTTGTATTCGGCCACTTTGCTTTTCCCCTCAGAGATTGTGATTTTGAAACAAACAAAGAAATTTACCACACCCTGTATATCATTGTAGTCGCAGTATTTAGTTCTCGGAAAGGCATTTAATAATTTCAGCGACAAGACTTGCGAACAGTATAGTGCTCACTTTCCGGAGGCGATATCGTCCTCAAGCCATTCGACAATCCAAAGCATCGAGTTCCCATAGAGTATGGAGTTCCTCCGCTGTATGACGATGTCGATCTCACAAAACGCGTGGTACGTCCTTAAGATTACTCAACTATGAAAATACTCCAATCGCTAATATAATATGCTCTTGTTGTTCCTTGTTGGATTTGAATCCCAACTTCACGTACCGGAAAACAAAATTCGACAGCCAGTATGCAACGAGGATATCAATAGTATAGTGCGTATGAGATATAATCAAACAAGTTGCTGCGGATGCGGCGAGGAGGTATGGAATCCACCGTAGGAACTGCAGCCGTGGAGGCAAGTAGTACGCGACAAAAAGGGCACTTGTCACCTAGAAAAAAGGCGTCTTTCACTCGTACTAATACAGTCCAGCAGAACTATTTTCAGCCCAATTGTTCAAAGGAGCACAGTCCCAAGATTTGTCAACGATAGGCCCGGATAACAGCACAAACTTGTGAACTTTGCTTTTCCCTGTATGCGGTGCGTAAACACCGCATACAGAGAAAAGCAAACGTTGCATTGAAGCAGGGATGTTAAATGTCCTTTTTTACCTACTTGAAGGACTATTTCAGATCGAATCCGCGGGGTAAAACGGTCGATAATGAAGTTGTAGATGGCGAGTTGACTGCTAAGGGAAAAAGAAAGAAAACCGCCGATGAAGCCTAAACAGAAACCACTCCTCCCCTCAGAAATGAAGGAAGGGGCGTGTCGGACGAGCTTTTCGAACCAGCTTGCTCCGCCGGCATTTATTGCTGGCTCGTGCCCGATCAGAGAGAGGCACATTCATAAGTGCAAACAAATATATGCGATAATTATAAATGAGTTAAGCAGAGCAACCAAAGAGAGGAAGCACTAATTTCGAAATATGCACTCTATAGTGCAAGGGCGCGCATCGACGATCTCCGCGGCTGGCAAGTGGGCGTTGCGGTAGATTTGCCGCTACGCCCACTTCGAAGGCGTTCAACTCCCTTTCTAGCGGCTTTCCAAGGTGAGTTTTTGTTCAGTGACACTTCATTGTTCTTGACTAGGGCTAGCGCATCATTCCACACCATTAGTTTCGAAAGTGAAAACTCTGTCTGGACTGTTGCTTTGATTGTTGGGTAATGCACTATTCACCCCATTGTGCTCTCCGGCTCCCAAAATACAGCATCAGCATGGTAAGCCCCGGATTGAAAATGCTGTACAGTTCATAGTATAACAGTAGTTGAAGCTTGATGTGAACAGAAGAATGGAAATGAATGCAAGAAAAACCATCGGAAAACCAAAACTAAAGGCCTAACCTTCCGTCGTAAGTGGAACGACGGAGAAATAAAGCGACCAGAGAAGACAACACCTTATAGAGCATGCCGAAGGGAAGAACACGATGATCCCTGCATCAATCGCAAGCCTCACCCCAGAGCTTGTCTTTGAAATATAATATATTCCGTATGAGTACCGGTGTAGTGTGCAAGCACTTGGAAGATGCTTTTCATGTTATGCGGCTGTAGCATGTTCAAGAAATTTCGAATCGGAAAGATTTGAAGTTTCGTCGTTGGCCCTAATATGGAGAGCCTAGAAGGATTTACACGGCAAAGATCGGTCGTAGAATGTAGGAGATACGTGGGAGATTAGGTGTCACACCGGTCGGTCGGTATCAAAAGCACATATAAAGTGAGTCGTTTACATACTTCTTATTCTAGATGCTGGAGGGCCGGAAGAGGTGCTTTCTAGGAATGCGGATAAGATAATAGAGGGTGCCCCTAACTCATTTAGTATCCTTCTATTTTATAAACCGTGTCGGTTTGTATGTATGTCTGTAGTATGTATGGGTGTTTGGGGAGAGGAAGCGGAAAACCACTCACCAACAGACCTAGGTACGGTTAGGTTTTGACATGTCATTCTAGAACGTAAAGCGAAGGGAGCTCCCAGCACTTTACGGAGGACCATTCCTAGTAGCAAATATTACAAAGCTTGTAACGTCTGCGGTCAGCCGTAATTTGGTGTCACGGTTTTTGAATAAGCAATAATAGGACGGGTGTGTTTTTCGTGAGCTTGATGTAGTCGCTACCTGTCATAAAAGTGAAGCACTTCGCCCGCCAGTTGGTTTCAGGTCGTTTCAACAAATTCTTCACGAAGCCTCCCCGATTCTGGAAAATGTCAGCTTAAAATAACTGGGGTACCGTAACTACACAAGTCCTCTACCAGTTTACGAACCACAGTGAGATCTAATGCTCTGCGCGCCATTTTTAAAGACGTTATTCTCAGATACTAAAGCAACTATAAACTCCTAGCCGCCTTGAGAAAAAAAAACTACCGATTCGGACGAGATTTCTATGGGTAAAATCATTCTGCGCCTTCTCAATCGCGTAGTCTTGCTTTTGAAAAATTGAGGAGTTCATAAGTGGGCCATTCTGACTTCAGTTTTATGTTTTATGAGGTCCAATATACTCTTGCAATAAAAGCAGAGGGTTCTTTCAGGGTAGGGACACAATAAACAGTGTATCAGTGCATCAATGATGGTTCGAGACAATAGTTGCATGTACACTATTTTGTGTGCTGCTAGAGGCGGATGCCACTTCTTGGACCACCTTACTGCTCGATCAATTGCTTTCTGGAGCTTTTGGGAGTGCTGCCTAGTACTTGTTCATAGATTTTTTTGCCTCAGAGACTAATATCCTCTCTTAAGACAACAAATAGACTACCGAAAAAGAGGTGATACTGCTGAAAGGGCGGTAGATTTCAGGGCATTTGTCGATATATTTTTAACAAGAAATGCATCGGTTACTCAGGTCTTAAGTGTACGCGTCCAAGGATTTTTCCTGGCAAAAAAGACACAGGCATTCTTCTGAAATTATACATTTGCCTTTGAGCGAGTTTGTAAGGATTTTTCTGATTATCATGGGCTATACCTTACACTCACTCACACATCTCAATAGGCCGGCGAAATAGTAGATAAAGGAACTGTACCGAAAAAGACCAGATTGAAGAACTCACTACTGCCACGGTGTGACCGGAGAATAACATATCGCCACACAGGATCTTCGCATTATTCTGTAATAACGTTAAGTGCATTTATTGGTCAATGATGTTAAATTTCAAAACTATTATATCATTCAGCGGACGCTGGTATTAAACATTATGCAGTTTTTGGAGCTACCTACACTATGCAATGTACAAAGGATCGCATCGAGAACGGAAAACGAAGCTTTCAATTAAATTCATCAGGCTCATCTATTGAGTGTTCGCTCAGCTCTGCTAGGGGACACTCACTGATAGTAGGAGAAAGTTAAGAAATATAACTGTTGCTAGAAACCATTATGTATGTATGTACCATTACGTTTGTATGTATGAATTATGTTACAAATGGACAGCGAGTAGGAGGGGAGTCGTATGAGCTGCGGTCAGCGTCATGATCAGAGCAGCGTTAGCGTAGTATGTAAACATTATGTTTTAGAAGGTGTTGTGTATCCACAGGTCTTGCACTTGTACGGCACCACTTCGCGTTCGGCGGCCGAAAACACCGAACTTGAAGGAATGGATTGGTTTCGACAGCATGGCTGCGCTTTCAACGGAGGGAACAATTCACACCAATGTCCTGAGCGCCATCGAAACATTATGGGAAAGAGTAGGGATACCTTTGGTGGAAATAAGAGCCGGAAATATGGGCGAGAAACTCGTCAAATTTCAAGAGAAGTGGAGGAAGCTGCCCTGTAGACAGTGCATTCAATGACTGATTTCATACTTAGGCCGTACTAAGATTCCAGCAACTCCAGAAGGGTATTGGCGTACTAGATTTGCTTGATGTTATTTATCAGGCGGTTGCTTATTCTGTTGCATTGTAAGTTTTTCAGAATAATTTGAAATTTGCTTACAACATGGTCATACATGGAGAATTCCAGTAAAATATTTTTTCAATTCTCGCTGTTCCTACAAATTGTGCACAAGCGACTTTCGTGAGAAAGACACGTCCTCAAAATCATATCGAAATTTGAATAAATTAAGTAAGTAGTAAGTAATAAGTAGAAAGAAAACAAAGTAGTAACAGAAAGTACGGTCGAAAAAGCATTAGGCAAAATACTTGAGCGGGACTGTATATATTCCTTGACCACTCTCGCAAAATTTTCTGGAGTAGAATCTGTCCTATACATCAACCTTCTTATAAGAGCTTCATGTGAAATCTTTATGCGAAAATTCTCATCATTTGTAAGTACCGCATGCGAAGCGTTGGTCGCACTTCTAGAGAACTGTATGAGGGCTTTTTGATGTCTGTAGTAAGCAGCACTTGCATTTATGATTATGGTCAACCAATACCAATTACCAATCAATATTATTATCGATATATGGGTGCACCAATGATTCTGGCTCTCTCTCTAAGTACTACAAGCGATCATGCGAAAGCTTGAAAACTAAATTTCTTTGGAACGTTGTGGCTCAAAGATTGTGTTCGAATCATTCCGAAATTATCACAAAATGGTAGACATTAATTTTGATGAAACTCCGAAATCCGAGTTGACTTGACTGTTTCCAATGACATTTTTGATTTATCGGATAATTCATGAGTGGTTCAAGACCTAGTGTAATAATAATCGTTCAGTGAATACTATCATAATCGAATACATACGGAAAGGAACTGTCCAAAATAACATAGATTCGCATGACGTATCATTGTCAGTGGTGGACACGCTGGTTGATTCTTGATAACGCTACTTTTCGACGAGGACGTTCCAAAGGGAGCGTTCGATCATTGTCTTCTTACGATTAGCTTGAAAAGAAATGATCAGACGACGTGAACTGTTAATATTTTTCTGGATTTTAAGAAATTTTTGTGGCAGAGGAACACGTCGTACGTAGGCGCAGTAAAAGTACTATGGGCACCTGGAATCCGAATCGAAGTGCTTGCTCAGTGACTCTGGAAAGAAATATATCAAATGTGATATTCGCTTGCTCACGGCATCGCTTGTCAAAGTTTCCATAGCCTGGAACAATCAGCATTTGATCAACAGAACTCAATTCGATATTTTCTTTGCACCCCTTCATTACGCCCTTCTAATTTCCATGATGTAGATCAATGGACCAATTTACAGCACTTCAACCTTTTCACAGGCTAATCCATGTTAGAAGAAGCGCTCAGAAAAGTAAGTATCAAGCCAATGGGAAATACGCGAACCTGAAGGCAATTGGGTGACCATAAGTGTGAGAGAGCGATAAGTGAAGAGTGTTGCGCCAATGAATAGGAAACGGCGCGCGATAAATGCTCGTAATTGATGAAGAACGAGCAACGCGCAGAAGCAGGCTAGTGTAGCCAGTACAAGGAAGTGAGCCATATGATAGGCCCATTCCTGCTCCGGGAACAGTGTGAGCAGGACATCTGGCAAGGGCTGCCTGAAAATATATGTGAGCTAAATATATGTGAAATATCATTTGCAAGAAGCAAGCATAATGGGAAGAAAACGCTGAAGTGCCTATTATAGTCGTTCATTAGAAATTTTTATGATATTAGGTTGCATCATGAGTCCTCAACTTTCGTAGCTGCTCATTTCAGAACTCCTTTTCAAAAGCATTGCATAGAACAAGAACTGGAGCGATATAGAACTTTATTCTATTACACGTTGCAGTGTGAAGCAAATGAAAGTGCTCCTAGAATCTTGCCGAATGCACAATTCCTGTCAGATAAGGCGAGGAGTGCTGGGCTTTCGATTCCTTGTCAAGTACATTTTCTTTTCGGAATACCCGTTGGTCCCACATTCTTCCAGATAATTTGGATTTCAAGGATCAGGCTTGGGTGAGGAACTCTTAAAGTAACATTTCAGCGTAATTTGCTTTCTAGTAGTTGTACTTCAAGACGGACGGATATCGCTCAAAGGAGCTATGTAGGCTGAAGCAAATAGAAGCGTGGTCGCTATTTCCCACTGGTGCCGTTGTAAGTGCATTGGATATGACGCCTGGGATATTGCAGAAGAGAAGGTCCAAAATGCGAACCCCTCTTGTCACAGCCTTGACTAGTTGGCTGTTGTGACTGGAGACATATCAACAAAGGATCTTGAATGGGCGGGCAATGACATTCCAGTAAATCTCGGCATAATTGAAATCACCCATTAGGATGGAGACGTTATCGCTGGAGGAAAGATCGCTGATACATTTGTTAAGCTGTTCACTGTGCCTAGAATTGCAACTGGGGGTACGATAAACTAGGATGAGACGGCAGGTACCGCTATTCAGATTAAGGTCACATGAGAGAATCTCGTAAGCCTTGGGTACGCTTTCCTGAAACACAAGAATAGGAAATAAGGATGAGAAGTGTTTCCCATACTGTGGGAACGCCGTGTCCACTGCGTAGCTGAAGGAAACCAAGCAGAATACCAGCTGAAAACAGAAATGATTGAAGAATGAAAAGCAGTGCGTTTGTGAACTCTTCTCTGCATAGAGTACTGCGCCCACGAGCGATAGCACAATGACTACTGACGTACACGTTGCCCATATGTGAAAGCTAAAAACTCACCTCCTGAAACAGTGCGGACTAAAGATGTTTGTTGTCAGCGTGATAAGCCATATCACACATTGCAACGACGGCAAAGAATGAAGCAGCCTTTCACGGTTGGACTATACTTTCCCACCCACCCTACTCCTACAAATCTGGTACTCTGTGACCGCCACCTAGGATTATTATATTTTTGGACCCCCAACACCACTCGTGCGGTCACACTTTTAGAACCTGGAACAACGTCGGACAGGGTCAAGAGGGGTAGAATTATTCGGAAAATTCTGAATACGACCCCCTCCTCCTCTTCCGCAGCGGCCGAAGTCCTTGAGGCGACTCTCCTCACAAGGCCGAAGTATGGAAAAAGTTCTCTAACCTTATCCAAAAACCATTCATCTAAAAAACTCGGCTACCTCACCCTCCGACATAAGAGTCGTTCAAAAAGCAAAAATGCAAAGAAAAATCATTGACAATGAATCCTACCAAAAATGGAGCAAAAAATTTCCTTTGAAGTTCTCACCAATTCTCAGTGCACCACAAAGTATGCTTCTCAATCTATACGGTGAACGGACGCCTTATGATCGCCTTAGCCAGCTGTGTGTTGACTGATCTTTGGCGTTGACCGTGGAGCAGCTTATTTACTATTTGAACAAATATTCAAATGATTATAACTTTCTTCAAATATGACGAATTTTCAATCTGAAAGCAGATTTGGAAGTTTTGTGAAGAGCTTTTTCTAATCAGTACTGAAATTACAAAAAGTTATAAGAAATAACAAATTTAGATCAATTAACGAGGAAAATTCGAGATGAGCACGAGTTTTTACACTTTCCGAAGCGTAACTTGCTTCATTTTCGTCAAATTCTGAAAATTTAATCGTTTTCGTCGAACCTAGAAGAGTTTGTCCATGCCGAGGGGTTAGCCAGGCTGCTTCACACAGTCGCGTATTCAAAGAGTGGTCGCGATCGGGAGGGTTTTCCTCGAGCACCGCTGAAAAGGTAACTTTTTCGTCTGATTGACGCTTCCGCATCACCCTGACTGTAGGCTCCTTTCTAGTGGCGAATACAAAGTGGAGCAGCATTGGGTTCAAAGTTTCTTATTTCAAATAAACTGTAGAATGTCTAGTGAATCCGCAATCTCTAAACGTTACATGCTTATAAATTGACCCCTGAGAGACTTGCTTTCTGTCTGATATAGTGGATTCCTTCCGCTGGTAATATCCGCACTGGGCCTTTCATCCTCTTGTTTTTTACTGAACGACCCACTTTTTACATCATAGAGCCTCCAATTAAACGCGTGCAAGTGAATTGGGCCCTTTCTGGGACGCGCCGTGTGCTTCCCATCACTTCATATTGGTGGACTCATTTGAAATATATAATATTCGTTGAAAAACATGCGAATTCCGGTTTCTTCAAACTTCTCGCCATAAATAATTGTGATAGTTTTTCTAATGCTGTGTGCAACAACGAAAATTTCATGAGGGTAGAATAACGCTGTTATTGGAAATTCCTGATCAATCTTGCACAGCATCGATCACATCCTTGATGTTTGCCCTCCAACACTGATGATCTCTTATGCATCGATACGGCCCGACTTCTTCCTCCCAGCAGGCCACCTACGGCCCTCCCCCCGTCCACCTCTCGAGGATTCCTAAACGCACGCCCAACCTTGCGTCGGAGAGCCACTCTCAATTCTTCAAGAACCATCATTTATTCTTAAAGATTAGCTGGTGTTTGCCTAATCATTCACTTATCCGTCGCACCGGGAAGGGGGGAGGCATGTTTTTGCAACAGAAAGACACTTTTTTCGTGAATGATGCTGAAGCTGAGCTAGATAACAAGCGTGATTAATCAATTCCGTTCTTAATATCATTTTTGCGCATCCGCAGCAGTACCTCGGTAGGATTGCAGTACATCACCATTACGTAATACGCCAGACAGAAAATTAAGAGAGATCATCACTTCTAGCGTGGGCGCCCGCTTGGACGAATGTTGGTTTTAACGTCCACTGATGTGATTTAAACTACGGGAGATTGCCCGAACCTATTTCCGCGTAGAATAACCGTGGATGAATGAATGAGAAGTAGGAGTTATCCCTTCCTATTCCTTTTACCTCCGAGAACAAGTGCTTCGAACGGAAACTATAACTAGAACAGTGCCGTTGGCGAAAGACATTGGAGAAAGGTGAGTGTCCACTACGAATGCAGCGTTGCGGCAAGGCTCTCTTCTAGAGAAGCGAGTGTCACCTATTGTAGGTGGCAAGAGAACGTGCACTGCTCGACGACCATAGCTAATCTCGGGCCTGAGTGGTGGAGCGACCAGATTGATAGTAGTGAAGGAATATACGCCCTTTCCAGGAAGGTCTTTCAGGGCGTGACGAGCTTTTTGAAAACGGTCTTTTGCATGATATAGGGGCAGATGCGGGAACCACAGAACCATGTTCAATTTTTCCTGAACGGCCCTCTGAATACCAGAAAAGGGGGTCCCTAGTTCGATTCCTCTTGGTGACAAATTTTTGCATTTCGAGTTGACGTTCCAAAATTCGCGCAAAATGGAGTTCTGATTGTTCTGGTTGGTTCTAACTCCATTTTGCGCGAATTTTGGCACGTCAACTCGAAATGCAAAAATTTGTTACCACGAGGAATCGAACTAGGGACCTCCTTTTCTGGTATTCAGAGGGCCGTTCAGGAAAAATTGAACATGGTTCTGTGGTTCCCGCATCTGCCCCTATATCATGCAAAAGACCGTTTTCAAAAAGCTTGTCACGCCCTGAAAGACCTTCCTGGTTAGCCGCTGGCGCATAGTTCGGTCTACAATATATATAATACACTTCTAACGGACGAAGTTTACGATAATCATTCTAAAATCTTATAGCATTGCGCCAAGACCCATCAATGTCACTGAAGGACATCGTCTAAGAATATAATGAGCTGAGTTCAAAAGTTGGTTCTCAATTCATGTCCTGAACGTGCATTCATTGATTTTCAACCAAAAAAAAAGACAAGAGAAAACAAGAGACAAGTGAGCAAACCTCCAAATCACATCGTGCGTATAGGCATGTACGAGACAATTACTGAGGCCGGCAAAAGAGGAGTATGCGAATAGAAAAATCCACTTTCTTCAGTTGATTTTGCGGCGCAGTCAAGAGGCGGACTGTCGAAGGCGATATTTCGTTGGGTACTGTATACCGAGGTCATCTGAATTAAATGTGAACATGGCGTTTAGCTATAACTGGCTACAAACCACTTGCTCATTCACATGGAGAAAATTTAAGGAACATGGAGGATCAACAAAAAAGTCCCAACATTTCTCTTTTGGTAACTTCACTGAAATAAATTTAACCGGCTGAAATCAGCAGAACAGAATCGGCCTACATTGTAAATATATACACAGGTCATAAGCCGATACATGCCAGCAGTCAGCACGACACACCAACTGAAGGCGATTCATGTAATGAAGGATTGCGATACAGGCCACAAGTGGCTGATCCTCTGATCATGTTGAGTATAAGCGTCCTTTTTTTGAAGTTTTGCTCAGAAGTTAAAAGGTTCTAGACAGCTGAAAGGTGCCTAACCACAAACTCCAATATACACGACTCTTCTTTCCGCACAACTCAACCCCCAATCACGTAATCCTCCTTAAATCACAAATATGAACCTCCCTGGTCTGGATCGTTCACCTGGTTCTCGCTTACATATCGCTCGATTCGAAA